CCAAGACATATGCATATTGTTTTCCACCCAAGCTAATAGTCCTAGTTGGCCCAAAAAGATCTAAGTGGATCAATTGTAATACTCTACTAGTTGACACATCATTAATGGATTTAAAAGAAACTCGCTTTTGTTTTCCTTTAGCACAAGCATCACAGATTTTATCATTATCAAATTTTAGTTTAGGCAGCCTTCGAACCAATTCTCCTTGAACTAATCGTTGCAAAACACTCATACTAGCATTTCCTAATCTCCTATGCCATAACAAATTATCATGCTCATCCCTAGCAACTAGGTACAAATAGTCATATCAAAAAATCTAAATGCATCATGTATATTCCCTATTTTTATGACCAACAAGCATAATCGAAAATAGATGCAATGTCAATCAATTTTGCAATCATTTAAAATAAAATTGTATCTTTTATCAAATTATTTTTCAAAAGATTATGCTTTTAACCCATTCACATATAAAACATTATGCAATGTGATTATAGAGATTAAGAGCACGTGCATAAAGTTTTTGAAAAGTTATGCATTAAAACTTTATAATATTTTAAACAAAAATCTATGCATAAACATTAAGAAAAATTTCAAGTCAAAATTTTGCAAAACCAAAGTTCTTGAAAAATTGATATCAATTGTTAAAGAGATATCAATTACATTTTAAAAACAATTTTGACCAAAAAATAATATGATGAACTAGAGTTTATAAAACATTAAAAAATTTATCATGTTCATCATATAATATATTTTTTAACATACATGAGATAAAACATAATTCAACATTTTAAAACTTCATGCATGCATAAACTAAATGAGCAACCAAATAATAAAATATTTTAGAGGTTACCCCTTCCCTTTTTATGTGTGGCTAGAGCATTGAATATCATCATCTTTATCACCATTGCTCTCACACACCTACAAGAGACATTTAAGTAGATTTTGGTATCCAAATTGCTTTGGATCCTTGAACATTAGTTTCAGTACCTCTTGTTCCTTCTGTAACCCATACTTGTCTAATTTTAAATCGTTTTCCTTTCTTTAAAGGACAAGTATGTTCCTTATGACTATGATAATGACAATGAACAATTTTCATTATTGAACTAGATGAATTATTTAGAATGATCTCTTTTTCTCTTGTTAAACATTCAAGCTTATCTTCAAATTGAAATTTTCTTTTTCAATACTTTCAAATTTCATTTGAGAGTTCTAAATCCTTCTTCAAGATTGATTTTGATTTTCAAATCCATTTTATTTCTAGAAGAAGTTTGTTTAATTGAAAATTTCTTTTTCAAAGTTTTCAGATTTTATTTTTGAAAGCTCTAACTCATTTCTCAACATTTCATTTTGATTTTCCAAGTCTGTTTTAGCTTTCATGGGGAATCGGTTCGCTAAGTGTAAAATTCAAATATTTCGACCGTTGAACAGGGGGGAATCGGTACCCCCTGGAGGGGAATCGGTTCCCTCCGAGCATACTGGAATTCTCAGAGCCAAACCATTCAGGGGGAATCGGTACCCCTTGGGGGAGAATCGGTTCCCTCTGAGCAATCTGGAATTTTTGGCTTTCAGATGGTTTGAAATATTTTGTAAAATCGTTTTGAAATTATTTTAAGATTAAAACTTAATTTTACACTTGAGTAAGGATTAAAAATGACATTTAAAAGATTCGGAGTAATATTTTGATATTCGAATAATTATATCGAATATACTTAGAAAATCTTTTTGGAAAATCTTAAAATTCATTTAACTTAATCTGTTATATCGAAATATCAAAACGTTTTCAACAAATATTTTTCCACTTGTTAAAAAAACAAATATATAATAAGGACAATTTGATTAAATATACATTCCAATAATTGTTTATTCCTTTAAGCAAACACAATAATCTTACATTCCTGCTAAACCAACCAAACACAAAATACAACATTCTCAGTAATCATATTCTCTGGTAATCTTTTATTCCCACTAGTAATCTTACATTCCATGAACCAAACGAACTCTAAAAAACAAACAAACAAACACACTACTTATAGCCCTTTACAATTTTGCTCTTTAGATCCAACATACGAACACTGGAGATTCTAAAACATCAATACCGGGTTATATAGTCGGCTTCCTCGAGCTTCAATCAAACCTGCAGTTTTCTTTAATGCTCGTACGAGCATTGAGGGACTTGTGCAATATGTAATACCAACAATAAAACAGGGAGTTCTCAATTCAAGATGATGACCAACAATATTATTCGAAGGCAGGAACAACATATGCAACATGCAGCAAAATTAACTAGCAATGCAATTATAATGAGCCACAAGGGGACTAAGCGTTACTTATGATGTTGCAAAATATGAGACATAGTGACCAATCATGCTCAAGTAATTTTCATATTGGGCAACAAGTGTGATTGCCGAAAGATCATTAAGGAAATCTTCCACAATCACAATGATATGTCCCTTGATTAGACTAGATGGGGTTCTACTTCATACATTCAAGTATGGAAACAACTGAAGAAAATTCCAGCTCCCCCACATTAGTTGACAATTTAACTGGTTTTTTTTATAAGAAAGGGAGACCCCGTTAAAAACCCTTTTCTTAACAGTTAAGAACTCTGGGGTATCTCGACGGCCATTGGAAGGAGGAATAGAGTGCCTCATAATTTTATTAATGCCGAACAAACCATTACATTATAACCAGTACATAATAGACAAAACCAGCAGAACAGAATAACCTAAGTAACCTAAAACCATAAATACAATTTAACTAGTTAAAAATTAAAAACTAAGTACTAACTATTTCTAACATAAGCTTTCTGTCAAAACAACGACACCTCAACGCGGGCAAGTAGATAAATTGAATGAAAAACTGAAAACTTGCAGCCTGCAGTATTATCCCTACTAGCAAGTGTAACAACATATCTAAGTCTGTAGTAACATAGTCACTAGAATCAATGAGTTGATTCCAAAGTACAAAACCTAACTAAAAGATAAATAATCCAGGATCAACCTCTAACATATTTCCCAGATTAGATGGCTGACACATAATGATGCATCTACGATCCATAAAGACCAGAAATACCATAAGATTAATACAACTGGACACTGATCATGAGAAGGTAGAGTAACTTGACAACTGCTGCAACATGAGGACAACAAGACCGACTTTCAGACACCCACACTGAGCAATGCTGGACGATGACTCTGGACCTTCTCAACCCTCAAAACATGTCCTACTACTCACTGGAACAGTAGATAAATATCAAATCACTGGAAAGAAAGACAAGAAAAACTAACAAGGTAGCATTCATGCGTTTGTGTAGTGAGTCCTAAAATGAAGTAAATATAGTAATAGTTAAACACACACAAAAATGAGAGAGGGAGAGTAGGTGAAGGTCAAAAAATTCTTTAACCAGGAATAATTTGGAGTATTTAAAACTCTTTGAGTTCTTAACTTGTACAAATGTGATCAACAAAAACAATAACTTCTAGTAATAAACTAGAAAGAGAAAATGCAGCAGACCACAAACCTGAATATTTTCATTTGCTGTTGGTGAGGACTTATTTGACTCAGCTGGTTTTCTGCGCCACAATTTTGTCTGTTGCACTCTTGGTTTTAAAAAGCGTAAAGCGCCCTAAACCGCCTAGGGTCGTAGACACCGAAGCGCTAAGCGAAAGTCCTAGCTTTATGTAGTCAGAAAGGCTGAAATTCACAAAAAATACAGAATATTTATAAATTAACTTATAAATGCTTAAATATCAAAGTGTCAATGCATATATTCAAAACTTATAAGTACTTAAACACCAAAATATAATTCTCAATTTACTTATAAGTTATAAATACTTAAATACTTATATATCATTAACCATACGACTATACGAGCATATTAATCTCAAAAGATGGTCTACACCCAAAGTAGTCTAAAGTTAGATGAATAAAAGTATTTTTCTAAACCCTCAATTCCTTATAACTAAAAATCCTCTAAATCGTCATCGTCATCAACTCGGACAATACCATCTCCTTCATCACTAGACACTCCAAGTTGAAAGTTAATCAGTTTGACACTTTGACCTTATAAAATCAATCTATACCATAATACAAACATTTAAAATTCAACAAGAATTTTGCTTGTCTAAAAAACTATACCAGCATATATGTAACAACTAAAAAACAAAAAGCAATGCCAGTAACAAATAAAACTGAATTAAACATGAATACATGATATTCAGTTTGATCTTATAAAACATAAAACAGAAAGCAATACCAGTTTGACCTTATAAAGTCAGTGAACTTTTTTAAAATCAAACTATAAAATAGAAAGCAATAAAGTCAAACTATAAAGAACGAGAAAGCATTTTATAAAGTCCAACTATAAAGTCAGTGAAATTTTATCAGTTTAACAAGCATTTTGCTTGTCTACATGTAAAATTCTGCAAGACTAAGTACTTAAAGGAGAAAGCAATAAGCTATAAAGAAGAACATTATTCTATAAACTATAAAACACAATTTTGCAATAAACTATAAGTATATAAAGTATAAACAACAGAATTACGTACCGGTTGATGAAGTGCAGCAGCAGCGTGACTCGAGTGAGATGAGAGGAAGATGATGATCAAAACTTGAGTCGTGACTCAGGAGTCATGAGCGTGAGGCCAGAGGCCAGAGGCGACAGGCGTGGAAGATGATCGCGTGAATTTTTTACCACTCAACCTCAATCGTTCTCTTTAAATTCTTCGATTACCGCCTATTTCAATCGCATCTTTTACCCTAGCCGACCTAAACTAAAAGCCGATCTAAGCCAGATAATCTAATAGACCGCTAAACCCTAAACAAGCCCAAAAATTATATCTGCTAAAGCCCAAAAATCATATATGCTAAAGCCCATAATCGTATCTTCTAAACTCGTGATTAAGCGCCGATTACTACCGCTTAATGAATTTGTAGTGCTTTTGCCATGCTGAAGCGCCAGAGGCCTCGCTCGAGTCACTTAGCGCTTTAATCGCGCTTAAGCGGCGCTTTTTTAAACACAGGTTGCACTTTGTCCTAAACGGATAGTTAATATTGCTACATTTCTCACACTTCCAGCTTCCCTCAGGCATCTTTTGTTCTGAAAAGAATGAAACACATATGCATCAATTTCGAGACATAAGATAATGATTTTTACAATTTTAAAAGAACTTGAATTTTTATCTGATTTTGTAGCCTGCATTAACAAAAGAATATAGTTGCAATCTAAAAAAAAAGATTCATGACCCAAAATGTGATGCACTATTTTATGTATTAAGATGTTTTAAATAAAATAAAATCAAGACAAACCTGAGGTCCAGGCTTTGATGTGTTGCATTTCCGCATGTTACAGATAGTTCTGAAGAGAAGTTAATATTCCCACATTTAGGGCATTTCCAATCATTATCATGTGTAGCGTCTGCAAAGGAGTAGAAGAATCATGTTGTTGCACAAAATAGTTGTAATGCTAACCTAAGGGCCTCTATGAACATAAAAGGTAGAGATATGACATACTGACACCTTTTTTCTGTGATTTATCATCTGGGAAAAAATGTAGCTCTGCCAAAAGTAAAATTACGGTCCAAAGAAATCAGGAAAATTCCAGAACTGCAATAGGCGTATTGGTGGTAAAGACATGCTTTTGCTGCAGGTCTCTAAAAGTTAAGCTTGCAACATCGATAAGTGCTACGAAAGGCTAAGCTTGCAATCTTAACTAGAGAATCCTAAAGAGTGATTTCAGAATAACATTAACCTTCTGAACATACCATTGGAAGGGGGCCCATGGGCAAGCCCAAGCCATAACGGTCCATCAAAGGAGGCATGACATACATCCCAGCTGAAAAAGAATAATAAAACGTACAGTTGGGAATTGGGATACTTCATACTTGAATAGCATACTTTACTCACCAATATATTCATGGATTTGTTTGGGCATATTTTGCAGCTAAGAATGAATTATGAGCAAGTGTTCAATGTCAAGAATTTAACTAAAATGAAAGTATAATAAGAGAACAGAAAAAATAAAATGAAAGGAAAATGATAGCATGTATAAACTGAAAAAAAATACCATTTCCAATCATAGAGCCAGTAGAAAAAGGGCGTGGCCCAGACATATGCAGGGGCTGAAAGGGATTGCCACCAGGAAGACGATTGCTATACGGATAAGCTGATCCTCCAGAAAATGGAATGTCATATGGAGGAATAGAGGAACCATTGAAGAGGGAAGACCCATAAGGTGGTACACCCAAATACATTGAAGATGGCGTACCGGGACCTACATAAGGAGCAGGTGACGAGTAATTTGGTGGGGGTTGTAGAGGCTTCGCAACAGGTTTCTGCAACAGAAAAAAAATACCAACTTAATCTTAGTAGGAAAACAAGAAAAGAACGGGTTAATTTGTGAAGAGAACAAACAAATTGAAAAGGATCAATATCAACATAGTTTTTTTTAGTTCCGCAAGGGAACATATACCAAATTGAAAAGAATTATCACCAACAGATTTTCTTAAGTGAAAACAGAGGTAGACCGAATAAAACAAAGCACTCAGTTCCGTTACTTCCGTGTACTACATGACACACACCAATCATTTTTTTCCTTTATGTCAGAATAGAACAAAGTAGTAAATGCATTAAAAACAACTCACTAAGCGACAAATTTCAAAGAATCTACTATTTTTTAACTCACTCTTGAAACAACTTCAATCCAAACATCAGTAATTTATAACATGAGCCAAAATTACATCAACAAAAACCAACCACATGTAGTTCTCATGATATTCGAGGACTCTGATACGTTGAGAAGGGTTAAGAATGAACAATCAGAAACTCTTGCAGGGTGGTTTTCTAGAGTTGAAGTTTGGTCGGAGAGTCTAGTGATAGAATGCCGTCGAGTATGGGTAGTTTGCGAAGGAATTCCTTTTCACGCGTGGAATTGGGGTACTTTCAAGAACATTGCGGCTAGGTGGGGCAAATTAGTATCAATTGATGAAAGCTCTCAGTTTCCTTCATCTTTTGATCGTGCAAAACTTCAAATCCTCACAGAGACTAAAGTGAGGATTGATGAGTCCTTGAGTTTGAAGGTCGGTTCTAATTCTTTTGAAATCATGGTGCATGAAGTTGAGCCTTCTTTCAAACCAAACTCTTGGATCCCTGAGGAAGTCGATGATTCTCCAGATCTGAATTGTTCTCTCGGGCCAACGTCAGAGAATTCTCTGTCAGGATCGTCAGTGTCATCCCCAGGTTTAAATTACCCCGTCGAAGATGTTACAATTGAAGGTCCCCACTTAGAAAAGGTTTCACTCATAAAGAGTGTCAAAAGCGATGAGAATCCGAGTAATAAATTGGGGTTGCACACAGTGAAGACTGTGGATCATTCAAAATTAAATATCGTGGAGCTTCTAGTTAATAAATCAGTTGATCATTCTGATGATGTTAGCCTCAGGGCCTCAGAAGATGCTCTTATGATGGGTCTCATTACTTCTCATGGTTCATCTACTGACACATTTCAATTAAAGGAAGATACCCCAATGGTGCCCCTTTTCCCTGCGAAATTAAGAACTAATCGTGTGTCGAAGAAATGCAAGACAAAGAAAAGAGTTCTGATTTAAGTGGCAAGGAAACATTGATTGAAGGGAAGAAAGTGTGGTTTTGGTTCATTGAAGATAATTTATCGAGCTGATTTTTTTGGTGATTTTGATACATGTTGGTATTTTGTGGAGTTCCCTTCAGAGGCGTATGTTTTTGGTTTAATGGTTTTAGATATTGTTTTCATGTATGTTATGTCATTAAATGTTGGGTTGTTTTCCTATTAATGGAGGTTTATCTTAGGTATAGGGTGAATGCCTCTCGATTTTAGTGGTCGAGAAGGCGAGAGTTTTAGGTGATTATGTTTTTTGTAATGGTGTTTATCCTTTGAGGGTATTTCGTGTTTTCATATGTAATGAGGTGTTTTATTCAATGAAATACGAGGTACTCTTTTCTTCATTCCTATGTTTGTTAACATACTTCTTAATATGTGGACAAATACGAGGGAAGTTTTTAATGAGGCCTCCAACTTCTATCAAAAAAATACTTACTGAATTATGACCAGCTGGCTTGAGTTGAGTGCAATTGCGCATATTGCAAGTAGTCCTAAAAAAAAAATTCACATTCCAACAACTAGGGTATGCCTAATCATCTTCCCTACGACTACCTACAAATTGTAACAACAAAATTATAACATTTTCAAAACTAGACACACAAATAAAAAGGTACAAATTAAACAGAGATTGAATCCAATTCATTAGCATACCATCCGTTCTAGCATGCTTCGCAGCCGAAGAGTTTCTATTATCAACCTGAACCACAAAACAAAACAAATACAACTTAAATCACCTTAAAATGTGCAATAGTTTTATGAAAAAAAGTACAAAAATCTGTTACAGTAGGAGGAGAAGAGCGTGGAAATGAAGAACAAATTGGGGGAAATGACGAAGAAATTGGGAGAAGTGGAGGTCAAGGGTTATGGATTATCGTTGGAGAATTGGGGATCGAGGGAAGAGAAGGGTCTAAAATTGGGGAATTAGGGATTAAAGTCAAAGAAGAGGGAACAAGGTATTTACCTTCTGATTTGGAGCAGATTGAATGCTTGGGTCAAGAGGGAGTTGGGTCGTCCAAGTTTGCAGTCCAGCAAGAGAAGAATTAGCCAATTTCGATGGCCAGGACCTGAGGAGAGAAGAGAATATATGTTAGTTATAGTTGTTATATAGTACTGACAACTGGCACATTTAAAATTACAACTTTAGCCCTGTAACTAAATAAAACAATGGCTGAGAGGAATTGATTTCTAAAGTAATGAATGAAGTATCTATTTTCTGTAATCCCTAATTCTAAATTTCTTCTTCTCGAATCCTTTCTACTTCTCTTAACATAACAATTGGTAATCAGAGCTAAGATTCTGGCAAAACTTTTGAGGGCATGCCAAAGAAGAACCAATCTATGGCAGAAATCGATTTAGTTGGAATTCATAAACAGATTGAAGATCTTGCTTCTTTGGTGAAACAAGGCCAAAATAAGACTAATCCACCTAAATGGTGGGAGACTCAGGAAAACAAGTTACTGCACTAGAGGCAATGATGACCACGAATCACATTTATATGGAAGATATACTGAAGATCTTAACTGGCAGAAATGGTGAACAGGAGCAGTCTGCAGGGGATCAGGTATGCACTCCTAATAGCTCTAAAAATGGGAAAAAAATCATGTTTTGGTGATTGTAGTTAAGGATAAATCCAAATTCTCTTATAAAACTGATGAACCTGGGTTGTTGAAGGATAATCCTGATGCTTGTTTAGCTCTTAAGAACAATTCTAGGCTTGGGAATCAAATGGCTGAAAACAGTAATAATATACATGTTATGCTGGGACTGGAAACTGAAAATAGGGGATCAGGGGAGAGTTGCCATTTTTTGAGGGGGTAAATCCTAGGGGGTGGCTACAGAAGTGTCTCAAGTATTTTTCCTTATGCAATGTTCCTGTAGATCAAAGGGTAGAAGTGGCTACTATGTATCTTACAGGAAAAGCAGAAATATGGTTTGATGGCTATATTATGCAGAAGCATCATGTAACTTGGCAAGAGTTTGAAGTTGATTTGTGCCATAGATTTAGTGATAGGTATTTTTCTGATATTGTGGAGGAATTCACTAAACTTACACAGAAATGATCTGTTAAAGACTATCAAGAAAGGTTTGAGGAGTTACAACCACACATGCTATTACAAAATTCTACCTTGAGTGAGTTCTTTGTGTCACTTTTTATAAGTGGGCTTAGAGATGACATCAAACATAGAGTGAAAGCTTTAGATCCTAAGAATTTATCGGAGGTATGCAAACAAGCTAAGTTTTATGAGTTGTCTGTGGAATTTGAAAATAGAAGGTTGAGACATTCCTTTAAAATCCCACCCTACCCAAACCCCAATAATAATCCCAAGCCAAATTTAATTCCACTGCCTATTAAATCCTCACCAAATTCCAACACTAAACAAACTCTCATTGATTACAGAAGACAAAACAACCTTTGTTTTAAGTGTGGAGAAAAATTTCAGCCAGGCCATAAATGTAAAACAAGAAATCTCAATATGATGATTGAAGAGGAAAATCCTATTCCTACAGAATCTGTCCCTACTGATTCAGACCAGCAACTATTACAAGAAGAAGAAAACTTAGAGATATCTATGAATGCTATTACTGGTTGTATTAGTCATAATACTTTGAGGATTCAAGGAACAATACAAGGCAGGCCTTTGAATAATTTGATTGACAGTGGAAGCACACATGGTTTTTTGACACCAGAATGGGCTGATGATGGAATTCAAGTTCTAACTCCCTATCCTTTAGCTATTACAGTAGCTAATGGCCAACAACTCTATAGTTCAGCTAGATGCAACAAGGTGGAGTGGCAGATGCAATGACACTCTTTCATACATGACTTTAGACTTCTTAAATTGGGAGACAATGATATGGTTTTAGGAGTTGGCTGGATGAAACTATTTAGTCCAATTTTGATGGACTTCAATCAAATGACAATAAGTTTTCAGTATCAAGGTGAAAACATTGTTATACAGGAACAACAACCTTCACTGTTGTTGCAGCAGATTTCAGGTGCTACATTATTAAAAATGACAGCATCTGAGGCAGCTATTTTGGGGCATGTGGTTCTGCTAAGTATGACTGAAATTCCTAAGTCAGCTCCTACAGCTCTCAAACCTCTTTTAAAGAGGTATAGTTCTATTTTTGATGAGCCTAAAGGATTACCTCCTACAAGGACACATGATCATGTTATTTCCCTCAAACTTGGTTCTAGTCCTATTAATTTGAGGCCCTACAGATTTCCTCAGAACCAGAAGACTGAAGTAGAAAAGCAGATTGCTACAATGTTATCATCTTCTATTATTCAACCTAGCAAGAGTCTATTTGCTTCTCCATGCCTTTTGATAAAGAAAAATGATGGGACTTGGAGGTTTTGTGTTGATTATAGACAATTGAATAATCTGACAGTTAAGGATAAGTTTCCTATCCCTGTGGTGGAAGAACTATTAGATGAGTTATATGGTGCAGTTTATTTTTCCAAGATTGACTTAAGGTCAGTATAATGGCAAATCAGAATTAAAGATGAGGATATCTACAAAACAACATTTAGAACTCATCAAGGGCATTATGAATTCAAGGTAATGCCTTTTGGTCTTACTAATGACCCTGCTACATTTCATGCATTAATGAATGATTTGTTTAAATCATTTCTTAGAAAGTTTGTTTTGGTGTTTTTTGATGACATACTAGTCTACAGTAATTCTATGACTGAACATATTACTCATTTGCAATCAGTTTTGGAGGTTTTAAAAGCCAATCAGTTATTTGCAAAACTGTTTAAGTGGTTTTTTGGACAGACCCAAGTGGAGTACTTGGGACATATTATTTCTGCAACAGGAGTAGCAACAGATCCTAGTAAGATAGAAGCTATGAAGAATTGGCCTCTTCCTAAATCTTTAAAGTCCCTGCGTGGATTTTTGGGTTTAACTGGTTATTACAGGAGATTTATTAATGATTATGGTTCCATAAGTAAGCCTTTGACTCAATTGCTTACTAAGGATAATTTTTAGTGGAACACTACATCTTTAAATGCTTTTGAATTGTTAAAACATGCTATGTGTGTTGCTCCAGTTTTGGCCTTACCTGATTTTACCAAAATTTTCTATTTGGAAACAGATGCTAGCTCAGGAGTAATTGGTGATGTGTTATCTCAAGAGGGTAGACCTATTGCTTATCTCAGTAAGGCCCTAAGTCCTAGACATGCTGCCCTCTCTATCTATGAAAGGGAGTATCTTGCTATTTTACTAGCAGTTTCCAAGTGGAGGCATTACTTAGAGAGTAAGCCTTTTATTATTAAAACTGATCATGAGCCACTAAAGTATTTATTGGAGCAGAAATTGAGCACTATAATTCAAAAGAAAAGGTTGACTAAATTACTGGGGTTGGACTATACTATTCAATATAGAAGGGGCAAATCTAATATTGTAGCAGATGCTTTGTCAAGGCAATGGGAAGATAATGGTCACTGTTTGACTATGGGAACTACTTTGCTTATTCCTAGTTTGGCTACTGATTGGATCAGATTATTATCTGTGACACCTACTGCTGCTTTTAATTGGACATTTTCAAAAGGGGTACTCATATTTAAAGGCAGAGTTTACATTGGATCTATTGGGTCTCTTAGACTCCAAATTCTTCAAGTTTTACATGATTCTCCTCATGGAGGTCATTCTGGGACTCAAGCTACTTATCAGAGAATTAGATCCTATTTTTATTGGCCTAGGCTGAAAGCTATGGTGGTCAACTATATAAGATGTTATACAGTTTGTCAACAAACTAAGGTTGAGCATATATCTAAACCAGGACTGCTATAGCCCCTTCCTATTCCTCAATAAGCTTGAGAGGTGGTTACTATGGATTTTATTGATGGGTTACCTACTTCTTTGGAAAAAATTGTATATTGGTGGTGGTGGATAAGTTCACAAAATATAGTTATTTTATGGCATTGTCCCATCCCTATACTGTGGTTGAGGTGGCTAAACTCTATCTTGATAATGTTTACAAGTTACATGGTTAACCTAAACTAGCTATTTCAGATACAGATAAAACATTCACTAGTCTCTTTTGGAGAGAACTAATGAAGCAGCTTGGAACTACTACATTGTTCAGCATAACTTACCATCCTGAAACTGATGGTCAGAATGAAAGGGTAAATCAATGTTTGGAGCAGTATTTAAGGGGCTTATGTTTTTTTAACCTAAACAATGGGCTAAGTGGTTGCCTCATGCAGAGTGATTGTATAACACTACCTACCACACTGCCCTGAAAATTACACCTTTTCAGGCATTGTATGGTTACAGGCCTCCTACCATGGTTTGGCAGACAGACTCTAATGTACAGTCAGTGAATGATTTAATAAGGAGAGAGGACATTAGACAATTAGTAAAGCTACAATTGGAGAATGCAAGCAACAAGATGAAACAAAAAGCAGACAAGAACAAAACATAGAGAGTTTTTACAGTTGGGGAAACAGTTTACCTGAAGTTGCAACCATATCGACAGACTTCTTTGGCCCTGCGAAAAAATATAAAGTTAGCAGCAAAATTTTATGGCCCTTATAAAATTATTGAGAAAATTGGGGAAGTTGCGTATCGATTAGATTTACTTGAATCATCACGTCTACATCTAGTCTTTCATGTGAGTCTTTTAAAAAACATATCGGGCCCTCAACAGTCTCTTCAACTACTCCTCCTGAAATGGACGAAGAATGACAGATTAGAATAGAACCTGATAGAGTGATGGGCAGAAGAATTATCAACAGACAAAACAAACTTGTTACGCAATTGCTGGTGCGATGGAAGAACCTTGATGAAACCAATGATACATGGGTAGATTATACTGTTTTGCATGGGCAGTTTCCAGGTTTTGATCTTTGGGCTCAATGATCAATTTCAGCGACGGGTATTGTTACAGTAGGAGGAGAAGAGCGTGGAAATGAAGAAGAAATTGGGAGAAGTGGAGGTCAAGGGTTAGGGATTATCGTTGGAGAATTAGGGATCGATTGAAGAGAAGGGTCTGAAATTGGGGAATTAGGGATTAAAGTCAAAGAAGAGGGAACGAGGTATTTACCTTCTGATTTGGAGCAGATTGAATGCTTGGGTCAAGAGGGAGTTGGGCCGTCCAAGTTTGCAGTCCAACAAGAGAAGAATTAGCCAAGTTCGGTGGCCAAGACCTGAGGAGAAGAGAATATATGTTAGTTATAGTTGTTATATAGTACTGACAGCTGGCACATTTAAAATTACAACTTTAGCCCTGGAACTAAATAAAACAATGGCTGAGAGGAATTGATTTCTAAAGTAATGAATAAAGTATCTCTTTTCTGTAATCCCTAATTCTAAATTTCTTCTTCTCGAATCCTTTCTACTTCTCTTAACATAATAAAATCCTGTTTTCGGTTGCGAATTGAAATTTGATATAAATTTTTTACGTTAGATCAATTTGGGATCGATGAATAGATCCAAAAAAAAGAGGGGAAATCAAGAGATTTGGGGTAAAAGACTACCTGAGACATTGAGGCGACGACCGACGGAGATATGTTTTCCAATTTCGAAGATTCGTAATGGGACAAAAGAGAGGGATTTTAACCTAAAGATTAAAGGCCGGTGACGGGTTTTTATCAGGAAAATCGAGGTTATTTTTTAATTGGATTAATTACTGGATTGATCACTTTAATGTCATATTTGTGTTTTTTACCCACTAAATTCGAATGGTTTAATGATATGACAGGTTAATCGAAAGTTATTAACTTTTATTTAATTATTAAATTTTAGATTGAATATTAATTTGATATTAAATTTTAGATAAAATATTATTTGACCTATAAACTTTAGATAAAATATTAATTTTTTAAGTTTTTACTAAAATCTTTCATCGGCTGTCATTAATCACCATCGTTGTTGGTCATTGTTGATTACCATTAACCGAGGCTTCCAACAATTGTTGGACCTTAATATTTAAAGCCTACTTCATTTTGACCTTCTAAACACGAATTTGATATTCATTTCACTAAAAAAAATACCGTAAACTCAGCAAATCTAACAAATAGTCATTCGACTTCTTTTAAAAATCAAAACAATAGTAATAAATTTATTACTAATGTTCCTTTAAAAATAATAACACAAAAAACTAAATCTATATCATAATCAAATCCATAAAATTTGTATTTGCAATATTGTTAGGTTTATAATTTTAAAATTTTATAACTGATATTGAGTAAAATATTTTTTTAATAATCTAGAGTGGGTATAAGGTAGTATATGTTTAAAAACTCTCAACTATTCAATATTGGATGTTCATACCTTTGTATACATGATATTCAAACTTAAGACCTAAAAAATAACAATTCATTAACCACTGAGATCATTTGAATCATATAAGTAAAACATTATTATTTTTAATTATATTTTGAGTTTTAAGGTTTAAAATTCAATAATTAAATATATATATTATAACCCAATCAACAAAGTAAAGCATATTTAACATTTTATAACAAAGTTAGTTTAAAAAAAGTAAAATTATAACAAATATGTTTCTCGATGCCAAGAAAAACGAGTATAATTTCTGTTTGTTTGGTTGTAATTGGTTTTCTGAAAATTGAATTCTGGAAAATGAATTACTGAAATTTAATTCTGGAAAATGAATTACATTTCTGGAAAACGTTTTTGGAAAATATTTTCCGTAAAATGAATTACATTTTTCTGAAAAACATCTGAAAAATGTTTTACGATTTTTGGAAGATGTTGTTTAAATATTTTTTCCACTAGTTGATGAGTTTTTTCAAAATTATTTATTACAAATATCAAATACAATAAATAATATTATTTATCATAAAACTTAATATTATTATTTTTAAAATATTAAAATAATTTATTTATTATTAAATATTATTTTTATAATTTTATTAATAAAAATATTAATATTGGTATATTTTATTGAAATAAAAATATTATAAATTATTTTAATTATTTATTAAAGTAATAGTGTTATATATATTTTAAAAATATTAATTAGTATATTTTAAATATCTTTATTATAATATTATTAGATTATTATATTAATGTTAAATATATAAATAATATTAGTCATTATTAATCATTTAATAATATTATTTCTATGAAATTAATAAATAATATAAATTTTATTAATAATTTATTAAAATAAAAATATAATATCTTATATTATATTATTATAGTATAATTGATTATTTTATTATAATATTAAAAATATAATATTATATTATTAGAAATATTAATAAATATAATATTATATTATTAGAAATATTAATAAATATATTTTAAATATTTTAATAATTAATATTTTGATTAAAATGATATTAAAATATTTATTAATATTAAATTCATAAAGTAAAATTATTTTGAGTATTTATTCTTTGAAATGAAAAGTTTCGAAAAGGATTTACGGAAAATCAGACCGTAAGTCATTTTTCAGAAAACACAAAGGAAATTATGTTGACCAGGAAAATGTTTTACGTTGACCAACCAGTTTTCCTCCAACCACACACTAGAAAACATTTTCTAAAAAACGAATTACGTGAAACAAACACGAAATTTCGGGAAAAACCAATTTCATCTTCAGTTGCTTTTTGTCATTTTAAGTACTCGATTGGTTAAAAGCATGGGTTTAAATAACTGATTGATTAAAATATTGTTTGAAAAAAAAACAAGCACTATTCTATAAGGAGATAATTAAGCCCAATCTTACAACAAATGTTTGAGAGAATGATGATGGCAAATAAGATTATACAAACCAAAACCAATAGAAAGATGTCAATTTTACAACCAAACACAAAACATTCTTCAAAACATAAAACACGAGCTCTGGCTTTTTTCTGCAACTGAACAAAGGAAGACTCTGGAATCATCAATCATGCTGTGCTCGCAATATCCTGAAATAGAAAAGGAATGCATTTTCAGGCAGTTTGGTATACTGAATGAATGAATGAATATGGCTTGGGCTATTGAATATAGTGCCACTTACGTCTGGAAGGATTATTCAGACCATCTCGTTATTTTGAATATGGCTTCAGTGCCTTCTTCTCTACTTAACCAGATGGTTTTGATTGTTTGTTGATTCATCCCTTTTGATCTGCATATTTTCTGAATAAGCTCAGGCGAGACCTCAGACAAATAAACTTCGTTTAGATCAGGTAGACTTTCCCAACCATCCGGCAATGTCGTCAACTCCTGGCATTCGATAATAGACAACTCTTGAAGACCAGGCATCACTCCTCTGTTGATCAAAATTTCTTTCAATCGAGGGTGTCGTAACCGTTTTCCGGCGGGGACAATCGTTTAATTGTTTTAAAAAACTGTTACGACTTTTAATTTTGGAAAATGGGTGATTTTGGAGTAATTTGAAATAAATTAAAAAGAATTAAAAAGAGTCGCCATCAACCTTTGGGTTAGGTAGGTCGAATACCTAAAAACGTCTTTCAAAAACAATTTTAAGAAAAATCATTTTTAAGACAAAAGCTGGTCAGCATTTACCAAAGATTCGATTAAAACGGGTTCGGGAGTCGGTTACGCGTGGGGAAGGATTAGCACCCCCACAGCGCCCAAAATTGGTACTTTTTCGCTTACACGTTGTCGTAATGGTGAAAATCCTGAATCAAATATCAAGTTAAAATATGATACATTTATTAAATATTAATTAATTGCTTTAAATTAATAACTTAAATGAGGAAATTCAAAAGACTGGAGTAAAACAAATAAATATTACAAATCTAAATAAAAAATAGCAAAAAAATATTTAAACTTATAAAGACCAAAATAAAAAACTTAGGAATCAAATAACAAAATTAGAAAATTAAAAGGCTAAAATGACACAAACAAAAATTTAAAGAATAGAATAATAAAAATATAAATTTTGAAGACCATTTTTGAGTATATATATATTAAGGTAAATGTATATGTCAAACGAACTAAAATATAAATAAGTTCAACCAAAATATCATAAATTAATTAAAATTTATTATTAATACGTATTAAGTAATATATATATATACACACACAAATATATCATAATATTAATTCTTACTAGATAAAAAATAAAGTAAATTAAAACTCAACATAAATAGTAAAATATTAAACATATAATTAACAAAGAATCTAAACAATAGCAAAACCAAACAAGCAATACATCCAAAATGGAATGAATGCTTTCAAAATAATGTGGACCTCGTATAGTGGTGAAATTAAATAATTGATTCTTGATATCAAGTATTTAAAAATGTGTGCCACTAAAACTAAAAAAAATAGCCTAGGTGCTCATCTCAAGGTTTTAAAAATTAAATATGCACAACATAGATGAAATTTAAATATTGATGAAAAATATACCGATTATATTAAGGAAAAAAATATGTATAATATAATATGGTCGAATTGAAACAAATAATATTTTAATAATAACATGACTAAAATAGGATATTTAAAAATTTAGTGGTTAAATTGAACATAACCAAAAATATTATAACAATATAAATCAATGACTAAGATACAATAATTACGAACATTATAACTAAAGTCAAATAATAATATAACATATAATAGTGTGACTAAAATATAAATATTAAAAATAAAATACTTAAAACAAAATAAACATAACTTTAATTTATGACTTGAAAATAAGGATACAAATGCATAAGGACTAAAAAGAAACATGCAGAAAATTAAAAATCAAATGTATAAACAAACAGAAACTAATTACATTACCAGTTAGGACTGAAATTGAATTCGGATAAAGCATGGAGAAAAATTAGAAATACAAAAATATTGATCTAAGGACTATAATATATAAAACTGAAATGTTAAAACTCAAAATAAGATAAATAAGACTTCATTTAATGACTATAAGGTATGGATACAAATCAACAGGGATTAAACATGTGGTTATTCCATAAGCTAGGTGTATGGAACCTTACTATCCAAAACAGTACAATATCCTTGTGTATTTTCCCATTTGCTAAATCCCTAGGCCACATTCCTTTTCCTCTTTACTTCCCCTCTTGCCGTTTTACACTCTAGCTCATCACTTTTCCTTTCTTTCTCTTTCTAGGAGACAAGGCACAAGATGGAATTCACCATGGCCTTTGTCATAGGATCCGTTGAGGAGTTAAACGACACTCCCTACTCCCTACTCTTTCGGGGTTTTTTTTTTCTTTTCGATTTAAGGTAAGCTTTTCGAATGGATTTTTTTTCAGTATTTTCTCACAGTATTTTCTTTCTTTTTTCTTGTACTCTCCCCTCTCTAATTATTTTTCATATTATTTTCTGTTATTTGTGGGCAACTAAGTTATATTCGAAAACAATAAAAATGTATATCTATGTTGGTTTTTTTTAATATATATATATATATTTCCATACCCTAAGAGAATCGAAAAGAAATTTTACTCAACCTAATTGAACATGCAAGGTGAACAAATCAAAAGAAAAATGCATTAAAAATGATGAAAATAATAGGAAAAATAGTAAATAATTGATACCCTTGTTATTGCTTGAATATAGAGTTTACAGTGTGTCGTTTGCCAGGATTTTCCCCAATCCCT